TTTCCAATATCGTGCAGCCCTATATATATATATATATATATATATATGCATACATATCTTATACATCTTATATATTATTTTCAAACAAATGCTTCCCTTGATGCAATTTCTTTCATTTCTCATGAGAAATCAAGTCATCTGGTGTTTTTTTTTTTTTTTTTTCTCTTTCATATCGCAATATATATAGCAGAAATACAAAATATCGCAATGCGAGTTTTTTCCAATATCGTGCAGCCCTATATATATATATATATATATGCATACATATCTTATACATCTTATATATTATTTTCAAACAAATGCTTCCCTTGATGCAATTTCTTTCATTCCTCATGAGAAATCTTGAAGATGCATTGCATGCGTGTTATTTTGAGAAGTCTGTCTGCAGTCTAGACGTCTGAATATGTTCTTGTCTCTGTGTTTTTGTGTGTGCGTCTCTCTTTGTGTGTGTTTTGCTTGAATTATGACTTGCAGTCAGTCGTATTAATCCATTGTTTCATTACAGTCTGACTAATTCATAAAAGAATAAAGAATGCGAAAACTTAAAACAGACTGTCAGCAGATCGTCCGTCTTGTATAGAAACTATGAATGCTAAACCTTTCTTTCGCATCTAAATCCAGGCCAGTATCGGTCGTCTGCTGCATCGACAGCATGCATGATCTAATAATGATCTGCACGCTCAGATGGTTGTTTTTGAGCAGCTGAACTGCATCTGCGTGAACTCGTCTCTCTATAATCACTGCTCTATTGTTCGGCCGGTTTGACGAGGCTGTAATGGACGATGAGTGGCCAGAGATGCAGATCGGCGTGTGTTTGTCGAGCTCTTGAGATGGTCAACAAAAGGCTGATATTCCCGTTGTAACACCTGACATCCGGCCAGATCCTGCGACTCTCTCCATCAGATTTATTAGAGGGAAGTAAGTAGGTGCGATCGCTGAAACAAGCCTCAGTACAGACGCCATCTCCTGGAAAAGCAGCTAAAGCTAGATTCAGATACTAGTTGGGTTTAATCTTTGTGGGAACGTTTGGTCATCAGTTGTGATGAATAGAGAAGGTCAGCCAACAACTTAACTGTTCGATTAGTGAGGTAATAATATAATGTGCTAATAGAAGTAATAGTAATAATAATAAAAGTATTGTAAATTTTATATTTAATTTGTCAGACTTTTAACTTACTTAATAAAAAATAGTTTTATGAATAATAGTTGTATTAATGCAATTGTTAATATTTATTTTACCGTTAATTGAAAAAATACAAAAACACATTTAATATTAAAAATATTAATAAAATTTATTATTTGTATTTTTATTATTGTCAAATCTTTAACTGAAAAAATACAAAAATTACTAATAATAACAATACATTTTATTCATATTTGTATTTTATTTTTATCAAACGTTTACCTGAAAAATGCATATTATTATTGTTATTGTCATTATTATTATTAGTAGTAGTAATAGTAGTAGTATTGTTTATTATTAATAATAATAATATTTTATTAATATTTGTATATTTATTTTCAATCTAACTTTTTACTGAAAAATACTAAAATAAATTGTATATTTATTATTATTATTATTATTAGTAGTAGTAGTAGTAGTATTTATATAGTTATTTAAAGTTAAACCTTTTAACTAGAAAAATACTAAAATAATTGTAATATTTATTATTATTATTATTATTATTATCACCGTTTTATTATTATTTATATATATATATATATATATTTTTTTTTTATCAAACATTTAACTGAAAAAATTTTTATTTTTAATTTTGTTACTTTTTGTAAAAACAAATTCATAAATATCAACGTCCGCTGTCTCCTAGCAACGGGAATCTGGGAGTGTTTGGAATTTGTCCAGGAGGGACTTATATTGCAGAATTCCAATGGAATGAATTAGGTTGTCATAGCAACAGGTGAATGAGACAATGATTGGCCGGCAGCCAATCGGATGCGTTATATCCAGGAGGTGCTTTCAGGCTGTAGCTTGTCAGATTCACACCTGCAGCGACTGCGCTTCCGATCCTCTGCAGACAGCATCATCTCACATCATCACATGATTAGAAATGTTACTATGTAGGCAACTCACTAAGTTCTAATCTACAATCGTTCGCTTTATTGTTGCTTTTATTGACCAGAGCTCCACAAGACACCAGCTGCTCTCAGGAAAAAGACTTTAACGCTGATATTTAACCCTGGAGGCAGTGCACTAGATGGAAGCGCTCAAGGTCTGAAGGTCAAAGGCCACTGACAAACATTACGCCACCTTTGTTTCCGTCTGTAGCACCACCTGACTAATCCACAGACAATGTTTATTTGATTAGATTTTTTATTTTTGTATTTAATATTTTATTTTATTTATGTTGTTTATTTTTATTGTATTATTTATTTTTTGAAATGTTGTTTTATATATATTTAGCTTATATACTGTATATATATATATATATATATATATATATGTTTTGATTTACATTATTATTTTATATATTTTATATTTTATCATCTTTGTGTCCCCAGCATTACCTGACTGATCACAGATAAGGATTTTATTTTTTTTAAATTATTTTTTAATATATTTGATATTTTATCATCTTTGCACCACCTGACTAATCAGAGATGTGTATTTTATTTTATTTTATAATTTAAAAAAAATGTTTTGATTTATTTTATTGTATTCATTTATTTTATTCTTATATTAAATCATGCTGTCACGCCACGATCAGATCAGGTTTTGCAGGTTGAAAAGTCCCCTATACATATATAAAACAATATGATACAGAAGGACCGTTGGTTATTGAGCATCAGAATGCATTTATCAGTGTTCAGTTGGTAATAATAAGCCAGGTTTCTTTTATCTGAAAGCCTGTTTGACCTGACGCTGAGATTATTGTATGTTGCACCACCTTTATGAGGAATTGTGTGGGACTGGGGTGTATTTGGCAGCAGAGGAAGAGCTGGATTGAAGCTGTGTGTGTTTTGTAACCGTGAGCGCTTCACCTCTTAAAACTTTACTGAGTGATATTTAAAACAGCCGCACCCAAACACACACGCACATGCCCTGCGGGAGAGAGAGAGAGTGTGTGTGTGTGTCTGGCCTGCTTGAGTTGAACGCCCCACCGGCACACGCCCTGTTCCCAGCATGCCTTTCACCTACATACCACAGGACGCTGTCACACAGAACTTTGTACATGTTTTCATCTGTTGGACGAGTCAGACAAACCACGACCGTCTGTGACAGGCGACGAAACGATGGCATATTTCTCCCCAAAATAAAATAAAGAAGCCTGTTTTTAGCATCATTATCATTTTTTGCATTGTGACATTTTTCATGACAATTACAGACCAGTTTGGCAGGGCGCTTCCTCTCTTTTAATAATCAACAGCAGGCTTTAGTTTGTCACACTCATGAACATGAATTGCTGCATCAGGGGGAGGGGCTTCCTCCTTCTAGAGGACATTTGATTGGACGGAAATCTGTGTGGTGCAGGATGATGTCACTATTATCCATCCATCCATCCTCGCTAACACAGCTTAGAGACGAACCTAGAACATGCTCTACATGTTAGATCATGGTCATAGCATGTGTTTTACAAGATCTTGCTTGTAGTTTCTGCTGGAGTAAAAGATCTGTCCTGTAGACTCCAGGTTGAGCTGCTCGTCTCCGTGATTGGGGAAATTTGCTCAGCTGTTCACATGGACTCAGCGCTGAACTTTATCATTGGTTTGCATTGGGTAATACACGAACTCACTGAGGAATTTTTACTGCATTTATTAACCTTAACCTTTGTTCCTGTTAATGTCAGTTAATAAAAATGTTTGTTAGTTCACAGAAGTCTTGCTTTAGTATCAATGAGATGCTATTATAGTTTTTACTAATAGTTTGAATTTGATGTTATTTTTATGTTTTCCGTTTTTATTTAATTTTTTGTTTTAGTTTAAGTAATTGTGTTTTTTATATGCCTACGTAATATTTATAATTTTTTAGTTATGTTTTTTCAGTTTTAGTTATTTTAGTGAATCACATTAAACTAAATGAAAATTATATATATGTATATATATAACATTTTTAACAAATTAATTGCACATTCGGAAATTAATCACGATTAACCTCACCTAACATTAAAGTTTTTAAATATACTTTCTATTACAATATATTACAATAATCTATATATTGCACATGCAATCTTCAAATTAATTTACAAACAACATGAAGACAGTATTTTTTTTTAAATATTTGTTTAGTAACATCTTTTTTTTTATGACTGAAGGCGAGTATCACTGATACCAATACTACTGATGTCTCTATGAAATATAGATTTTTTTCCCCCTAATATTTAATCACTGATTATAGCCATTTAACATTACAGTATAAATGACCGCAATCAATTTGAGCATTTATTAAAATTTAAAAAAACATGAATGTGACACGGATCTGACATGCATCGTATTTTCTCACAAGCTTTTAAATATAATTGCACTTTATTTCAGTTAACTAAAACCATAAAATCTTTTTTTTGCTACTTGAAATAAAAGTTAAGTATAATAACCCTGGTTCACAGTGCATTAACTAATGTACAGTAAACCTGTCTTGAAAATGTTGAGACTGACTTCATTTAGATTCATAAATGTTGTTTATTGCTAATTCATGCAAACCTTATCATAAAGTGTTACCGTTCTTCTTTCTGCTGCATATGAAATAATCACTGATGTGAGTCTGATATGTTAGTAAAGTGAATTTAGTGTCAAATGTCTGTCAGATGAGTTTCATTCTCAGTTTTAAAGTTAGTCTGTGGTCATTCTAATGAGTTCTCATTTGCATAGCGAGATAAACACGTGATCAGGGGAATTTTGCAATCCCATTCACACACACTCATATTGTGTGCTCAATCAAGCAGAGAAACACACACACACACACACACACACACACAAGTTTCTCTCACTGCGTCTGCGCGTGTAACTACAGTAAGTCAGTTTTTCCGTCTTATGAATGTGCTGCAATAATTCAGGTTTTGTTTGCACACTTTCCCATGATTCCGCTGTTTGTTGCTCCAGTTTGCATTATGTCGGATATCTGCTGGATTACTGTGGATTTCGAGGGGTTTTTATGCAATAAACAGACTGACGGTGATGATGTCATGGCCGTTTCTCTGCTTTCCCACAGTGCACTGGGATCGGCCGTGGCCTGTCCCCGTCTCTTAAATAAATGTGCTTGTTGTGCATTTTTAATCCAGTTTAATTCTGCAATCATGAGTTAATAATAAGCCATAAAAAATCACGCATGATGTCACGTTTGGGTCAGTTACAGTGTCGATTAATATTTATGAAAATATGCAAATCAGTTTCGGAACCGTTGGAATGTGCATGCATCGTGAGATACTGTATCCGTGTAGAAGGTCATGCATGCTGAAATGGGGGTTTGTATTTCTTTTATTTTTTCCTATTTATTGTTATACAGTTACACATTTTCCCCCCCAGAATATATCCAATATATAAAATGTTTAACATGCACCAGGACTTTTCTAAATGTCATGCATTAATGAATATGTGCACGTCTCATATCAGAGGATGCTCGTCGTGTGTGTGAATGTGAAAGTGTTCAGATGGAGATGTGTTGTGATTGCAGGAGCAGATCAGACAGATTGAAGTCTTCTGTCTGTGTTTTTCCCATCTGGGACTGAAATCTCCCAGCAGCTCTGAGGTCCAGCGCCGTCTGAGTCCATTAGTCATCTGTGTGTGTGTTATAGTGACACTTCATCAGTTTAAGATCATCACTTATATGTGTGTGTGGTTGTGTTTCAACAGTGTGTTTCTGAAGAGGACAGAGACTTCAAGGAGACTTGAGAAACTGATTAACTAGAATAACAGCAGAACGACTGAACGAGAAACGCCAAGTGAGTACAAACACACAGACTTTCACTAAAATATCTTTGACAAACATTATAAATATGAATATTTATGAAACCATGTACATGAGCTTCATGACTACTGGAATGTACATGAGGTAATAATGATGTAATGCTATAAAGTTGGGTAATGAGACACACACACAGGACTTGCATTACACAATACATTACATGTAATTAGCATAATTGTGCAAGCATCAGAGACGAATATTAAATATTGCATCAGGACGCATGTGTTGAGGAGTTTGTGACAAATCACACTGATCCTAGCATGCTTTGCTGCAGAGCAACAAGATATCTGACACATTAAAGTGAGTGTGAGAGTGTGTGTGTGAGAGTGTGTGTGTGAGAGTGTGTGTGTGAGAGTGTGTGTGTGAGAGTGTGTGTGTGAGAGTGTGTGTGTGAGAGTGTGTGTGTGAGAGTGTGTGTGTGAGAGTGTGTGTGTGAGAGTGTGTGTGTGAGAGTGTGTGTGTGAGAGTGTGTGAGTGAGAGTGAGTGAGAGTGAGTGAGAGTGAGTGAGAGTGAGTGAGAGTGTGAGTGTGAGTGTGTGTGAGTGAGTGTGTGTAAGTGTGTGTGTGTGTGTGAGTGTGTGTGTGTGTGTGAGTGTGTGTGTGTGTGAGAGAGAGTGTGTGAGAGAGAGTGTGTGAGAGAGAGTGTGTGAGAGAGAGTGTGTGTGTGAGAGTGTGAGAGTGTGTGAGTGTGTGAGTGTGTGAGTGTGAGAGAGAGTGTGTGAGAGAGAGTGTGTGTGTGAGAGTGTGAGAGTGTGTGAGTGTGTGAGTGTGTGAGTGTGAGAGAGAGTGTGTGAGAGAGAGTGTGTGTGTGAGAGTGTGAGAGTGTGTGAGTGTGTGAGTGTGTGAGTGTGAGAGAGAGTGTGTGAGAGAGAGTGTGTGTGTGAGAGTGTGAGAGTGTGTGAGTGTGTGAGTGTGTGAGTGTGAGAGAGAGTGTGTGAGAGAGAGTGTGTGTGTGAGAGTGTGAGAGTGTGTGAGTGTGTGAGTGTGTGAGTGTGAGAGAGAGTGTGTGAGAGAGAGTGTGTGTGTGAGAGTGTGAGAGTGTGTGAGTGTGTGAGTGTGTGAGTGTGAGAGAGAGTGTGTGAGAGAGAGTGTGTGTGTGAGAGTGTGAGAGTGTGTGAGTGTGTGAGTGTGTGAGTGTGAGAGAGAGTGTGTGAGAGAGAGTGTGTGTGTGAGAGTGTGAGAGTGTGTGAGTGTGTGAGTGTGTGAGTGTGAGAGAGAGTGTGTGAGAGAGAGTGTGTGTGTGAGAGTGTGAGAGTGTGTGAGTGTGTGAGTGTGTGAGTGTGAGAGAGAGTGTGTGAGAGAGAGTGTGTGTGTGAGAGTGTGAGAGTGTGTGAGTGTGTGAGTGTGTGAGTGTGAGAGAGAGTGTGTGAGAGAGAGTGTGTGTGTGAGAGTGTGAGAGTGTGTGAGTGTGTGAGTGTGTGAGTGTGAGAGAGAGTGTGTGAGAGAGTGTGTGTGTGAGAGTGAGTGAGAGAGTGTGTGTGTGTGTGTGTGTGTGCACATGAAAGCGCGTGTGTTGTTCTGATCTCTGTGTAAACACACATCATGTGCTATTGATGTTTTTAATTAGTTTTAATTTTTATTTTTTATTTTTTTTGCTTTTCTATCTTTTATTTATTATGAAATCTATTCTTAATCTATTTTTTTTTTTTTACATTTTTCTTTCTTATTTTTTCTTTTTCTCTCTCTCTCTCTCTCATTCCTCTGTAATCCTTCATTCCAGCAGCTGTTACGGCTGAGTTAACTCTTTAAGCGGAGGCTGATTTGCATATTAACCCTGTTAGAGGTTGTTTGTTGTCTGCGTTGAGTTGATGACATCAGCGGTGCGTGTCTGTCAGTAAATCTGCGTTTCTCCTCTTCTTCAGTCTCAGAATAAAGTCTTAGCACATCTCCATACTCCAGGTCTGCTCCTGTAAGCCGTGTCTTCCCGCTCTTTCCAGTAAATCTGCTGTTGTTGGAGAAACGTCTCGCTCAGCAGGTCGGGTCTCTTTGTGACATCGCGTTGGGTTTGGCTGTTTTGTTCCCATATAATAATTTATTGCACCGACTTGAATTCAAAACCAAAAACTCAAGTCGATGCTTGTCTTCTGAAGTTCACGCTTGTGAAACAAAGTCTGCTTTCCCTGCAAGAATCAAACCCACAATCCATATAATCCCGACCTAAACAACCTTTATGATTTCTGTGCCTTTATTTGGTGACAAAGTGCTTTAATCTGAACTGAAAGCACATGTTTTTGTACGTTCAATCCTTTGCATTGTTCATGACAAAGACATTTAAATCGTAACTAAACCATTAAATCAGCAACAATAAAAACAAACATCTCATATTCAGAGAAAACAGATTTCATCTAAAATGCACTATAACATTTCTCTCTCTCTTTATTTTTCTTTCTTTCTTTCTTTCTAAACCTATTTTTATTCATTTGTTTTTTTCTTTTATATTTATTTGTATTTATTTTTATTGTTTGTTCTTTTTTCTTGTTTTTCTTCATTTCTTTATTTCACATTTATTAGTTTTTATTTTGGTCTATTTTTATATATATATTTTTTTCTTTATCTTTTCTTTTAATTTATTTAAAAAAAATTTTTTTTTCGAAATTAATTAATTAATTTGTATTTTTTTTCTTTCTTTCGATCTATTTTTTTAATTATTTTACATTTTTAGTGTATTTTTTCTTATATCTTTCTTTTCGTTTTATCGATTGAGTTTTTGCAGGAGCTCTTGAAGTCTTGCATGCAGCCAGATTCATGTGGTTTTTGGGCTCATATCAGTATGTCATTCATGTTTCCATAATTAATCACATGGGGTTGTTTGTCTGGTTTTGCAGATTCTTCCCATATTTAACTTCTTAATCATCTTTCGTTCTTCTGTCTTCCTGAAGTTCTTTGCATTTGTTTGTTTGTTCGCTCAGTGTTTTTTATTTCCTGAAGCGTCCGTGTTTATTTCAGTCCTGTTTGTCTTTTGTCCCTGGAAGGAAACAATCGTCAGATCTCACCTCATAAATGATCGTGGATGTGATTGGAAAGGACCGATGCGTTCGCACCTGTTTCAGACGGAGCGTCTCATTATCAGCCTCATCTGTCGCTCACGCCGCGTCTGATTGGTCCAGAGAAACTCGGCGTGACATCAGGAAATCACAGCGCTAGTGCTGCTAGTTAACTCAATCATAACTAGTACAAGTGCTGATGAAACCCTAACAAGCTAAAACACTCAGAACACCCTAACAACTGCATAGCAACAAACTGAACCTCTCAGAACAGCCTAGCAACAACACAGCAACAGCCTAAACACTTATGTCACCACTGCAACAACTTAAAACACTCCTAATACCTTAGTAACTGCATTTGAAACAGCCTAAAGCACTTAGAATATCTTAGCGAAGCCATAGCAACAGGCTAAAACACTCAGAACACCCTAGCACCAGCATAGCAACAACCTAAAAGACTCACAGCACCCTAGCAACCGCATAGCAACATCCTAAAACAGTCAGATTATCTTAGCAACGGCATAGCAACAGCTTAAAACACTCAGAACACCCTAACAACTAACTGCATATCAACGGCCTAAAAACACTCAGACATCCTAGCAACTGCATAGCAACAGCCTAAAACACTCAGAACACCCTAACAACTAACTGCATATCAACGGCCTAAAAACACTCAGACATCCTAGCAACTGCATAGCAACAGCCTAAAACAGTCAGAATATTTTAGAAACTGCATAGCAACAGCCTAAAACACTCAGAACACCTTAACAACTGCATATCAACAGCCTAAAAACACTCAGACATCCTAGCAACTGCATAGCAACAGCCTAAAACACTCAGAACACCCTAACAACTGCATATCAACGGCCTAAAAACACTCAGACATCCTAGCAACTGCATAGCAACAGCCTAAAACAGTCAGAATATTTTAGAAACTGCATAGCAACAGCCTAAAACACTCAGAACACCTTAACAACTGCATATCAACAGCCTAAAAACACTCAGACATCCTAGCAACTGCATAGCAACAGCCTAAAACACTCAGAACACCTTAACAACTGCATATCAACAGCCTAAAAACACTCAGACATCCTAGCAACTGCATAGCAACAGCCTAAAACACTCAGAACACCCTAACAACTGCATATCAACGGCCTAAAAACACTCAGACATCCTAGCAACTGCATAGCAACAGCCTAAACCAGTCAGAATATCTTAGAAACTGCATAGCAACAAACTAAAACAATCAGAACACCCTATAAACTGCATAACCACAGCCTGAAACACTCAGAACATCCTAGAAACGGCATAGCAACAATCTTAAACAATCGCAACACCTTAGCAACTGCATAGTGACGGCCTAAAACGTTCAAAACACACTAACAACTACATAGTAACAGCTTAAAACACTCAAAACACCCTAGCAACTGCATAGCAACAGCCTAAAACATTCCAAACATCCTAGCAACTGCATAGCAATATCTTAAATCACTTATACAACCATAGAAACAACCTAAAACACTCCAAATACCTTAGCAACAGCCTAAACACTCTCCTAGTAAGGAAAAGTGAATATCCCCCGGGTTCTTCACGTGTGCGTCTTTCTTGACCTTCTGCTGCATGTGTGCTTATCTGAGAGCTGTGTTTGCGGAGGTCGCTCTAACCGTATGAGGACTCGAGGGGAAAACTGACATTCATTACATTCAGTCGGATAATTGCTAAATATTGCCGATTATACACACAACATGACCTTATACTGTAGTGTCTGAATGCTGGTTTTCAGTGCAGAAGCTGCAAGTGTTTTATTTGATACTTTCCCTTTTTGCTTTTGTTTTCAGTA